TTCTGGAACACAGCCTTGCCAAAACCAACTTCCCATGGTAGCTTCACAGAAGGCCTGCGTTTCTGCGTTTCTCCTCAAATATTGCCTGACTGACAGCCGGGTGCACCGCCAGAGCATCATATGGCCCAAGAGCAGCTTGTTGTCTACGATGAGACCTCATTGGACGGCCCACATCATCTCCTTGAGCGCCCTGGCCTTCTTCAGCCGCCTCACGGTACCAATCAAGCTCTTCTCTCCGGCCGTTCTCCACGTGGGACCACGACCCTTCTTCCTCGTCTATACTGCCTAGGTGGGATCCGAGGTCAAGGCCCGCATCATCTGAGCCCTCTCGATGCGGTGAGCTTCCGTCTCCATCTGGCCCAAGGCTAGCATGAGACATAGGCTAAAGGCGCACCAAGCCCTCAGTCTGAAACCAAAAACTGCCATGTTCAATGAGTGCCACATTAAGCAATCAACAAATCAGCAGTCCCACTCTCCGAAGGCAAGCAGACTTTGTCTTTTGATGTCAGATGAAATCATCGACCCTCGCAAAAGGATGATGAAAAGACTCTGCTGATAGATAGCCTAGCCGTCGGCACCTGCATCTCATCTCCCCCGCTTCAAAGCAGGGGCCCGAAGGTCAGGTAGGGAACTAAACCGAAGAACCAAAGACGGGGGCCGGGAAACAAGGAGGCATCCGGCGCACTAGGGGCGCAAGCGCATGTAGGGCAAGACCCTATAGTGAAGAGTGCAGGCCGTCAAGACCAAGTGCCCCCACTCCCGCGGCCTGAGGTACAAGAGCACCCACGTGAATCGATAGCTGGCCGAGAAGGAAATGAGGTGGCCTCGGGCAATGTGATTCCTGAACACGCTGGCCGAGTTTGCAAAGCGAAGCAGGCGCGGGCAGTGAAACGCAAACGGCCTAACACGTATTGGCTCAAACTGAACATCTGGCTCAGACTCATCAGTAGATACACTGGATCCGGACAACGAGCTGGTCACGGAATAATATGAGGATCCTCTCAAGCTTGAATCGGCCCGAGGTCGCGGCGCATCCATCGGCAACTACAATCAGAGGTCTCGCTTAAAAGCTATAGCAGAAATGAGCTGCCATCAGGACTATGGAGACCTGGAGTGCGTGAGCAGCAAGCATGGAGGACTCATGCATGGGATGCCTCCGCGACTCGACCCAAAGGGCGGCACGGGCAAATCAATCTTGGCTGCCGCACACAAATCAAGGCAATGTAGAAGCACTGCAATTCAGCAGAGTTGAGTGTTTTTCTCAAAGTGAGCGGCTTGTCAAGCTCGGAGGAGCAACTGGCATCGCCCTTGTCCCAGCGGACCAGAACAAACTGGCAAAATTCCACGGAACAAAACGGCAGCCTGATAAAAGAAGCATGGCATGGAAAAGAGGAGCCTAAGCAAGCAGACAGAGCTAAGCCACTCTCAGTGCAAGAGCTCAAGCAGCCTGCCCAGCTGCGCACGTGCCTCGGCGAGCTGCGTCTCGGCACCGTTGACGCGCGTCTCCAGCTGCTTCAGGGACCGCCACATGTCGTCGTTGAGGGCTTTCTGGTGAGTGCTCGACCACGCCACATCGGAGAGCTTGGCTGACATGCGGGCATTGGCCTCCTGAAAGTCCCTCTTGAAACGCCCCATAGAGCGCTGAAGGTCCAAAAGACGAGCCTCCCACACATCTGGCGTCCGTGGAGCAGCGCGGGCCGGAGATCTCGAGCGGGAGAGGCGGCGGCTGTCAGCAGGCCCCGGGGAAGTAGTCACCATTGCACCAGACCCAGCAGCATCAGCAGACGCAGCAGCATCTGAGAGAGTAGCCGAAGCCGGTGCCAGCACGGAAGCGGGGTGCAAATCCTGACGACGATGCTCCTCCGTGTCACTCCCCGGCTCTGGAGCGGAGAGGCCCTCCATCATCCCCAGCAGGTTGCCGAAGGAGGCCGCCCTCTCATCGCCAGCCGAGACGGCGACAGCCACCTCTTCATCAGAGGAAACCGCCGCTGCTGCCCGCTCCATGCTTCAAAATTTTCGGTCCCTCCCTGGAACCGATCGGCTTGAGCCAAAATGGCTACGCAACCCTAAACCCTAAACCCTAAACCCTAAACCTTAACCGTGATTGGAGCCCCC